GGCTGTCAGACAGAGGCACTGAGGGCAACAAGAGCCGTGTCTGTGCTCGCCAAGGACTCACCTCTGTATGTGCAGCTGCAGCTCTGAGGGAAGCCTTCTTCAGTTCCCTTCTCCTCTCTTTCTGTTGTTTTCTTCTTGCTATAAGGCAAGAATAAAAATGAATTCATTCCGTCAGCAGCAGAACTGTGTAAACATGGGTACCACAAAAGCAGAAAGCAGAAAAAAGACAGGGGAAATTTGAGCAGGAAGCCTCTCAGTGAAAGACATTTCCAGGGGGACAAACAGAAGACCACCAGGCAGTTAAAGAGACGGGGTTACACACTGTGGCACCTCACTGCCTTTGGACTTCTTAGAGGCTCCAACTCTTTTCCCCTCTGCAGAGAAGGAGAAAGCAAAGCAAACCCTGTGCAGCCTCGGTGTGCTTGATCAGGGCAGCAGCTGCCCTGCAGGGCGGTAGCACAGCACCTGCTTACCTCGCAGCTTGGAGCTCCGTGCTGCAGCAGGCCCAGGCTGTGCTGCTGGAGCCGGCACGCTGCCTCCGCTCTGACCTCTGGCTCTTTTGCAGGCAGGCAGCAGCGCTGATGTTTGCTGCTCTTCCTCCAAGCCCTTGCGTTTACCTGCAGCCAGGGACTTGGAGACAGAGCGGGGGCACACGGCAGGGGCAGGTCTTCCCCCTGAGCTGGGACCTGCTGATGTAGGAAGCCCCCCAGCCTGAAGACAAGCTCTCCCAGAAAGCCCTTCCTGCACCGCTTTCGGGTCGATCTTTCAGTTGGACTCAGCACCTCTGCCTGTTATAATCAAGAAAAGAGAAGCAAGGAGATACAACGAGAGTCCAGGACTACTTTCAGTCTGCACAATGGGCCACGATACTAGGAAACCTGATCTCGAGGGTACACAGTAAGGAATCTTAGCATCTTGGCTGAACATTGGGCTGAGACTACAAAACGGGACAGGAAGGTAATAGTAGATCCCAGGGATTAATACCTCAGGTAAAACACACAACAACGTCAGTCCCAGAAAGAATAGACAGAGAGCCTAGCTAGAAAGTGCACCAAACCCAGGTGCCTGCTGTGTGTCCATACCTCTCTTGGGTGCTGTGCCACACTCGGTGCTTCTGCCTTGCCTTTCTGCAAGGCTGCGCTTTGCTGGAAGGCTGCTTGCATCAGCATCTGACAGAAAGGAAACAGAGACATGAAGAGCATCTCTTTGGAGGAACGTTTTAGCACAGCCAACCAAACTTCTGGTCTTCAAGTGTAGCTTCTTCAATTTCCTTTCCACTGCTACAGCCTTGTGCCACTTCTGCAGTCAGCACAGAACTGCAGTGCCCTTTCCTCCCTCCTCCATCACACTCAGCCCTGCATGCAGCCCTGCTTAGAGGCAGCACCCACACCACAGCTCACAGGAGCTTCTTACCTGGGGAGGCTTTCCGTTTCCCCCCGTGCCCAGCACCATCCCACGGACGCGCAGGCTCCGTCCCTGCAACGACAGAGCCAGTGTGATTGCACAGACACCAGGAGCAGCACTGTCCTGGTAGCCCACACCCACCCCAAAACCAGAAGACGCTGTTCTACAGCCAGAGCACAAACTGGTGTTCAAACTGCAGCGTGCTGACACAAAGCATTATGCTCTCATTCCTGCCAGATGGCAGCAGAGGAACCCCGGACTGCCTGACAGCTCTGCATTCTGCAGAGCAGAGCTGCATCAGCAAACAAAACGCTACCGGGTGCAAACGTGGAGACACGGATCTCTTGTCCCTAGAGGGAATGCACTCAGCTCTGAGCACCACCACTTATACACAGACTTGTGTCTCGCTGCTGCCATCAGCTGCTGCTGTCGGCCTTTCTAATGCTTCCACCGTGGTTTCTGGACATCCCTACAGCACTGCAGCCGCTCAGAAGTGGTACCTAGAAGGCATTCCTCCATCCTTCATGGCAGAGGACTGCAGAAACTCACTTTTGCGTGGCAGTGAGGACGGCCCGTGCCCATCGCGTCCCTCTGTGCGCTGCCAGGCGCCGTGGGATCTCTGGCAGCCTGCTGGCTGCTGCTGCCAAAGGCGGGGAAGCGCGCCGCGCTGCTTCTGAGGAGAGAAAGAAGAAACGTTGGAGGGAACGGGCAGCCGAGGTTTGCACAGAGCTTCCAGGTCGTGCCAGAGATGGGAGAGCAGAGTGCTGAGATGTTCTTTACCACTGAGGGAAAACACAGCCTGAGCCATGCCCATGTTATCAGCCCAGGCTGTCAGCGAGCGCAGAACCCAACCAGTTCCTGAGGTCCCAAAGGACCAGCAGGGCTCCCCCCGCTCCACCCCTTCCCCTGGAAAACAAAAACAAAGGAAGAAACACCCAGCAAAAGACACCCAGCCCTACCTTTGCTCTCACAGAGCGGGAATTGGAGCCGCGCTCGTCTCCATGCTGAGACATGACGGCTGAAGTCTCAGAGGAAGCCAAGCTCAGATGGTTCTCTGCACAGGAACTTCTCCCGCTCCTGGAAAGAGCTGGCTTCACTCTTCCTCGATGCCCAAAGTCTCCTTTTGGACAGGAACCCTGCAGAAAGCATCCACCAGTGAAAAATCATGAGGAAGAAGCATCTTCCCAGCTTTCTTCTGCCGCGCCATGGAGTCTCTTGAGGAGGGCAACGTCTGGAAGGCAGCTGGCTGCGAGAGCTGCCTGCCACCAGGTCCAGTTTGGGTCTGACTGCCATGACTTGTGTCAGCAAGTGCCCTTCTCCATCTCCTCCACAGCTCTGCACCCAGCCACCCGTGGGGCAGGGGGCACGAGCTGTGCTCTGAGAAGCTTGTGCTCTCCTTGCTTTTCAACGTCTGACATGAAGGTGGGGCTCAGCAGTGAATTTCCAGGGGAGGAAGGACATCTCATCATCCTCACAGAAACGTGGGATGGAATCTCAACAAGAACCATTTCCCCTGGAAATAGCCATGCTGAAGGGCACTGCTGGAGCTGGGAACTCCTCCCCAGCCCAGCTTTTCTGCTGAGACACCTCCCGGCCCCCAGCCAGCACCAAACCCAGCTCACCTGGTCACTGCCCAGCCGGATGACCTGGTCACTGTGCCCAGCTGACGCACGCGCCGCAGCGCTGCTCCCAGTGGGCTCTCACAGGAAGATCTCTCCTGAAAAGCACAGAGCTCAGTCTTGGTTTGCAGCACGCTCGCCAGACCACCAGCTCTGCTCCAGCTGGGGCACAAACGCTCCCAGCCAGGCAACCACTGTGAGCTCAGCAAGTGCCTGCATCACCGCTGTGCTTTCATCATAGGCAAAGGAGTGGTCACCTCCCAGATCCAAACTGTACGAAACATGAGACTCACCCATGGGATGAATGGGGTTGATTGAATGGGGGTTAATTGAAGTAAAGCAACAGAGAAGTGAAGATGACCCTTGTGCAGCCCAATAAAAACCAGTATGGCCTCAGAGTGGTTAATGGAGTCCAATAGGAATCAGCAGAAAACAAAACCCGGCATCTCTGGTTTTTGCTTTCGGTCCCAGGGCAGAGCTGGCCTCCCGGGCTGTGGCTGTGGCTTTCAGTCCCTGGGCTGGATCCTGCCTTTTGGGCTGTCCTTTTTGGCTCTGGGGCTGGTGCCAGCCTCTCTGCTTGTGGCTTTAGGCCCTAGGGCCTTTCCAGCTTCTCCAGCTGTGGCTTTAGTTCCAAGGCTGGAGCTCTCTTCTCTGCCTGCGGCTGAGGCTTTAGGCCCTGGACTCAGTGCTGTTCTAACTGGGGCTGTGGCTGTGAGCCCCTGGGCTGGATGCAGCCTTTTGGGCTCTGGCCCAAAGTCACCAGGCCTGGTACCAAATTGTAAGAAATCATGAGGGCCGCCCAATGGGGTTATCTGAAGTATCAAAACAGAGAAATTAAGATGACTCCTGTGTAACCAGCCTGGGTCAGCCTCTCGCTCAGGCACCGCGTGATCAGACCCAGGAGATGTTGCCCTCAGGCTCCCCCAGACTGGAGGCTGGGAGGATTTGGGCTCCCAAGCAATCAGCCAGCATTCGGATGAGTCAGCCCTCTGGTTTTTGTGGGGACAGACGAGCCCACCTTGGAAAGCCATCTGGGCAAAGGCAGAACAGCTTTGTTGTTGGGCCGCAGCACTCCGTGGCCAGGCGCTGCTCAAACGCTGGGCCTGCATTTCCTCCTGGGCATCCACGCGTGCTCTGAGTCTGCTGCAGCTTTCTGCAGGGTTTGTGGCTTCCTGCTGAGGAGCTCCTCGTGTTCTTCTGCAACTGCCCCCAGCATCACTGCTGCCTCCTCTGGTGCCGTGCCGGGAGATGCGTCAGCGTCCATCAGCCTGCGCTTCCTTCCTCCCAGCAGCAGCTGCTCCTGCACTGACCTGCATTCACACTGGATGCCGTCCGCTTCCAGCGCCAGCTGACCTGCGACACAGAGAAAGGAAATGTGGGATCAGCACAAATGCAGAAGCCCGAGGCTGTGCCACCACCACGTACTGCAGCCTTGGGAAGCCAGCTGCCACTGCAACCTTGGTCAGAACTAAAGCAGGCTCCGTAAATTAAGTGTGACTGCTGAACTGAAGGAATTGCCACAGTCAGAAATAAATACTGAAATCACTGAACTGTAGGTGGTTACCTCTGAATTCTTTTGCTTTGGGGAAAATATGGACTGGGAATTGAAGGGTACAAGAAAAACGAGGAGCACTTGGCAACTCAGGCAAACTGAGCAGGGCAGGGAAGATTGCTGCATTTCTTCTTCTCCTGGCCCAGAAATGAATTTTCCTACCTTAAAGGAGGTACTTAAAAGAGGTACCTTAAAAGAGAAAAGAGAAGAAGAGCCTGACAGAGTAGACACGTTACTGTCCCACATCACGGGTAGAAGCTGGAGAGCTCTCGTGGCACAAAGCTCAGGGCTGCAGAAATTGAGGGTGCCTCTAAGCTTTAAAACCAGGTGAAAGACAAGGTGGAACACGAAACATGGGCACTTCCTGCAGAGCACATCACACAGCTGCAGGCACCACCTGAGGGGTAACAGATCAAAAGGAAAACCTTACTATGGGAACGCAGGGACCAGCTGCTCTCTTCTTCTGGGCCTTTGCTCACAGTGAGGATTTCCCTCAAGAGCGCCGCTTTCCGCTCAGGCTGCTGCTGTCTCCAGCTGTTGGTCGCTTCCACTGCTGGACGCTGTGCCCACAGCTCATTCTGCTTTGGGCAAAGCCTGCTGGGTGAACTCCAAACCAAGGTCCCAGCCACGCTAATCCAGCTGGTTTGTCTGGAAGGGCTCAGAGGCCACGCATGGGATCCTTTCTGCTGCTGGTTCTCTCCGGGCAAGAACCTCCACTCTCAGAGCAGCAGTGTCCCCCCGGAACCTCCTCACAGCCCTCTGTTGCCCCAAATCCCCCAGACCCACCCCTGCAGCCCCATATACCCCAATCCCCTGCCACAGCCCACTCCAGCCCCGTGTGCCTCCTTACACCCCAACAGCCTTCTGCAGCCCCCTGCCTCCCCGCAGCCCTCCTCAGCTCCCCACAGCTTCCTCGCCCCCTCTATTTCCCCGTCAGCCCCCTGTATCTCTCCCAGAGCTCCCCAGAGCCCCACATCAATCCCACATCCACAGCCCATCCCATATATATCCCACTTCCCCACACCCCATCCTTTCTCCATCCACATCCCCACATCCCAGCCCTGCTCCCAGCCCCTCTCCCCACACAGAGGTGGCTGATGGCCGTGCAGGTTTCCTTCCCTGTCCATGAGCCGCTCTCCATCCCTCCCGGCTCCGCTGCGCTCAGCACCGCTCCTGTCGTGCTGTGGCTCCGTCTCGGTGCTGCCCGGAGCTCTGGCACGCAGCAGCTGTGGGACCAGCGCCATCTGAGGGGAGAGCTGGCTGCCTATGGCCATTCCCACATGCTGCACCTCAGCCAATCGGAGCTGGCGGTGCTGCCACTGACCAATCAGATGCACGAACGGACCGGTACTGCCCCTGAGCAATGAGAGTCTGGGGGCGGGCTGGAGCTGCCGCTGACCAATGAGAGGCCAGGGGCGAGGCAGAGCTCTGCGATGGGGAGGGCTCGGGGTGTTCCCTGTTGCCATAGGGGATGGGATGTGGGATTGGGATTTGGGAGGAGGGATTGGGATTGACAGGTGTGAGATGGGGCTGGGGTGAGGGATTGAGAATGAGATTTGGATGTGGGATATGGGATGTTGGAGTGGGATGTGGGGTATAGGATGTGGGGTTGGCATTTTGGGGTAAAAAGGGGGGTGTGGGGCGGTGTTGGAGTGCGTTTATTTCTTCTTGAGAAACTGGACTGGGGGTCCCTGTGGCCCAAAGGCGGGGCCATGAGCCGTAACCCCACATGAGCCATACCCCAAGATGGCCACAGAACCCTGTATGTGCGCGACCCCATGGCTGCACGTGACCCACAGCCCTGTGTGAACCATAGCCCCACACGACCCTGTGACTCCCTGACCCTGCCTGCCCCATCACACTACGACCCCATGCCGCGTGGCCCCAGAACTCTGGGATCCCTGCCCCAACCTCACCTTGACTACATAACCCCGTGTGGCCCATAACTCCATGATATCCCACCTGACCCTACAATCCCATCTGACCCCATAACTCACTGCAACCCTGTAACCCAACCCCACCCCGCAACTCTGTGACCCTGCAGGACCCCCATGTGAGCCACCACGCCGTGTCGTCACCCCATGTGGCCATAGAACCAGCCATGTGTGGGGGAAAAGGCATCTCCTCCTCGGGGTGGGGCTGACCCAAAGCTGCCCCAAAGAAGACATGGGGTGGGCTGCAGCCACACATCTCAGTTTGGAGAGCTGGGAACGGGCCGAAGGGGCCAGAAGGACAGGAATGTTTCTGTAGGGAAATACCTTGACAAGGTCTGGGGAAGGGGCTGGAGCTTGGCTGCGTGGCAATGAGGGAGACTTGAAACACGAATGGAGCTGGATGGACTGAAGCAAATCAACTCCTTCGCAAGACAGTGGGAGAAGAAATCCAAGTCAGCTGCAGAACAAACTACAAAACTCCTTAGAAAAAAGGTATCCCAGCTTAGGGCTGTTGGAGCAGGAGGGACAGTGCAGCTTGGTGGCGGGGAAGAAATTGCTCCAACATCAGGACTTGGAGCAGTTGATGCAACAGCCTGAGAAACAGACAAAGAACTGAAGGGAGCACAGCACGAGGAGGAAGGAATGCTTGGTGGTGCAGAAGGATGGAGAACGTCAGCGGTGCAATTCCCCTTTTGCTCAACATGTGCTGCCCGGCGTCGTGGAAAGGATGAGAGGAGTGTGAGAATTGGTTTGCACAAGTAGTTAGTCCATGCAGAGGTTTTCCCACAGCCCGTGAGGGAGAATGCTGAAATGAGTCAAAAAGACAAAAAAAAATGCAAGATACAAGACATACAGGAGACAAAGTGCACATAATGCATATTATAGAAGAGGGAGTCTTGGGCACGGTGGAGCTGCTGCTCGTCACACAGCAGTGCTTTACAGGCATTTAATGGGATTCCTGCAAAGCCTTTGGGGTGGTCCTGAGCTGCATCCTCACCTCCACATTGGAGGAAAAAGGGTTTGAAAGGTGAGCTGTTCAGTCAGTAAAGAACTGGTTGGGTGGTTGAGGTGGAGGGCTGTGCTGTGCAGCACTGTGTGTGGATGGAGGCCAGTGGTAACTGGCGTCGTCCAGGGGCTCATCTTGGGACTGGAGCTCTTCAGGTACGTGTCCATGGCAGACAGTGGGATCAGATGCAATCTCAGAGGTGGGGAGTGCAGTTGGTATGACAGAAGGAAGGGATGTCCTCCAGAAGGATCTGGAGAAGCTTGAGAGCTAGGCACACATAAGCTTAATGACAATCAACACGGTCTCTTAAATCTGGGGTTTTCTCCCAGAAATCCCTGTTTTTCCCCTTCAATCTGGGGTTTTCTCCCTGAAATCCCTGTTTCCCTTTTAAATCTGGCTCTATTCTTCCCAAAATCCCTTTTTCCCCTTCAATCTGGGGTTTTCTCCCCGAAATCTATCTCTATTCTCCCCGAAATCTCTGCTTTACACCTTACATCCGGGGTTTTCTTCCTGAAATCCTTGTTTTTCCCATTCAATCTGGAGTTTTCCCCCCAAAATCCCTGTTTTTCCTTCAAAATCTGGCTCTATTCTCCCAGAAATCCATGTTTTCCCCTTAAATCTATGGTTTCCTCCCCGAAATCCCTGTTTTTCCCCTTCAACCTGGGGTTTTCTTCCCAAAATCCCTTTTTCCCTTTTAAATCTGGCTCTATTCTTCCCGAAATCTCCAGCTTTCCCCCTGAATCTGGGTTTTTCTCCCCAAAATCCCTGTTTTTATCCCAAAATCTAGCTTTATTCTCCCCGAAGTCCCTGCTTAACCGCTTACATCTGGGGTTTTCTCCCTGAAATCCCTGTTGTTCCCCTTCAATCTGGGTTTTCTCCCCAAAATACCAGTTTTTCCCCAAAAATCTGGGGTTTTCTCCGCGAAATCCCTGTTTTTCCCTTTTAAATCAGGGGTTTCCCCCCCTGAAATCGCTGTTTCTCCCATTTAATCTGGGGTTTTCACCGCGAAATCCCTGTTTTTCCCCTTCAATCTGGGGTTTTCTCCCCAAAATCCCTGTTTTTCCCCTTAAATGTGGCTTTGTATCCTAGAAATCCCTCTTTTTCCCCTTACATTTGGCGAGTACTTAAATGTGCATCCTCACACCGCATCAAACCAGGCCAGATATACACACCGAGGAGTGAATTAACAGCCAAAGAGCTGAAGCTGTTTAAAGCCAAGAAGTTCACACTAGGAAAGGTCCCTCTGAAACCACCACCTGCACACCTTTTATACGATAAGGATTTAAGTTAATTCTGAAGTTATATGTCTTAGTTGTTCTGTGACGTTTCCAATAAACAACTGTTGTGATGGAGCAGTGAGTTGGAATGCTTTTCTGTGACTTAAATTCTCATTTAATCTCTTTAGTCTTCAATGATAATCAGAATAATCAATGATTATACAGGTGTTATAATTAAGAAATACGCAAGAGAGTTTTACTAAGCACGTTATGACACCAAAAAGAACAGATAAAAGGCTTACCTTTGTGCTGGGCTCACTGGAAAGCTCCAGTAGGAGGTATCCCCAAAAGAGATCCTTCCCTACTGGCAGTCAGCTCTTCAATGGGGTCTAGGAGAGGTGCAGCCAGGCTCCAGCCCTTCCAGCAGCACAGCAAATTGCCTTCACTTGTGCTCCCAGAGCTGATCAGTGCTCGCCTCAGGTGATCAATCAGAGGTTCAGGCTGTGATTCAGCAGTTCCCATACAGTCTTCACAGTAAGATAACTTGTGGTATCAGCATTTCCACTGCAACGGTCTAGGCTCATAGGTCCTTGAGCACTGGCCAAGCAGGTGGCTTCTGCCAAATGCTTCTCCCACTGCTTTAATGTTCCTCCCCCCGTTGCCTTCAACATAGTTTTCAACAACCCACTGTACCTTTTTTTTTAACCAGCAGCTGGTGCATGCAAGGGAATATGAGATAAGTCCACTTGATGCCAAGATCTTTGGCCCAAGTATTTGCAAGGGAATTTTCAAAATGTGTCCCCCCCGCCTGCCTCAATTCTTTCACTGTAGAGAGGACCTAAAATATGCAATCCAGCAACTGCTTTGTGTGCACATATCTATCTATCTATCTATCTATCTATCTGCTACATTCCATTTAATCTTACCCATCAATCTTGCTAAGCACACATGCAGAAAGCAGGGTTGTTCAGCTGTGCCCTTCCCCAGGTCACTCTGCTCTCCTCAGACCCCCAGGGCTGTCCAAGAAGCATCTTTCATCAGCCCTTCCTAGAAAGTGCTGCCTGCTTTTGTAGCACAGATGGAGTAGGTCATGGTGAACTCCTGACTTCCTCATGCTTGGGACAACTCCATGGGCCTCCTCAGCCACCTGCACCAGCCCTGCATGTTGTTTGTCTCCACAAACAGCACCCCTACCACCGCATGTTCTTTCCAGAGTTGTTTCCCCTTCTCTGACTAAGAGAGTGAATCTGCTCTGGATCTTCTCCAGGTCTCTGTCACTGCAGCATGCACTACAGACCTCACGTCAGGACATGTTCTGCAAACTCCTACTGCCACTTTCCTTGTGACAGATCCATCATTTTGCATCCAGTCCTTCAGTGCTGCCATTCCAGCGGCGAAAAAGTGAACATTAGGGGCAGGACGGCTGCTGGTAGGGAGAGGAAACGATGCACTCATCCTGCAATTCCTTTCTCTGCTTAAGCCTGTGGGGACGCCCTGAAGGCTGAGAGATGGGGGCAGGAAGGCAGCTGTGTTTCTCGGCACTTGTATCAAAGTGTGCAGCTCAGATTGCAGCCAGCTTTCTGTAATGGCTGCCCACAGGCTGCTCCTGCTGTGAGTCTCCCAGTAGGCACAGTAGTAGGTACCTTCATCATCATCATGTATGTTTAGAACTGATAGATAGCAAATGTTATTCCCTATTTTGGCAGACAAGTACTTGGCCTTACAGGTTTCTGAATCATAGGAAACATTTGATTTTGCTATCACAAAAAGGAGCCGTTCAGGAGCTCTGGCAAGCAGCTGTCGGTACCAGTGGATGTAGGCAGCCTGGAAGTCATCTATGCCCTCAGCTTGGCACTCAATATTCACAGTTCTGGATCTCCTTCTGGTAACAGATGGTGGACTCTGTTGCAGCAGCACTTGTGCATGTCCGTGTATCAGAAGGAGAGAAAAGGCAGCAAGCACTGCCAGCCTGCTGCCCGCAGGTGTACGCAGGACAGCCTGCTGCTGCTGCTGCAAGTAGAGCCGCCACGGGGAGAGGAATGGATGCAACCAGGCTTCAGCCAGGGCCAGAAGTGGCAGCAGCAGCAGCAGCAGCAGCATTCTTCTCGTGGTGCCTGCGTGCTGTGCCCCAGAGAAAGCCCCCAGCTCTGTGGCAGGGACAGGGGCTGTGCCTGAGGGCAGGATGTGACTCACTGGCGGCCACCCAGAGAGGGGCCCTGCGCAGCCAGCAGGTGATGCTGTGAGAAAGCAGCACAACAGAGGCACCTTCTAGGCTGGGCCAAACGGTACGAGAAACGCAACCGTTTTAGAGCCCACATAGGATGTGCCTAGAATAAAGATGCAGAGGGAAGGTCCCACAAGTTGTCTGCATTGTAACGTCTCGTTCAGGAAGCAGAGCGTGTCTTTGTGCAGGTTCCCCATGGCTCTCTGCTGCTGTGCATCCCATCTGGCACAGTAGTAGGTAGCAGCGTCTTGTGCAGTGAGTCTGCCCACTGTCAGGGTGCACTGGGACTTGGCGAGGTCCTTCTCGATGCTGAATTTCCCCTCATCGGACTCATTCTCAAGGAGCAGCCTGGTTGCCATGTAGGCAATGCGCCTGGGAGCTGCCCCAGGCCTCTTGCTGTACCAGTCAATGAACAAAACAATATCCAAGGGAGCCTCTAGAGCAAGGTCTAGATCCCAGGACAACAGCTGATCGTTTTCTAATGAAGCACTTGCCATCCATAACCTTTAGATTTTTATAAACCTCACTTTTGGTTTCCTGCCTTAATGGCAAAACAGTCAGAAGTGAAAGCCTGGTTTTGTTGGAAAAAATGCACGTGGTTTGGTGAGGGGGGAAAAATATGTAAGTTGAATTTATAGCTGTCCAATGAGCTAGAAGATGAGCAGGAGTGCTGTGCTGGCCTTGATCCTGCCCAGTGCTGCTTCAGGGCATCCAGGCACCAGGAGCTTGGAGGAAGTTGGACTGCTGCAGTGCAGGTTCAGGTTTTCCTGCTCTGTCTGGCAGGTGCAGACAAACACAGGGGAAACCTGGAGCTCTTGCTACATTTTTTCATCGTGTAACAATTCCCCAGGCTTGAATGCTCATCATTCAGGATTCTGTGTCCTGAGGTGAAACTTGAAAATCATTTGAGATGCAAACTCAGTGACTTAATTCTTCATGCCCTTCTGTCTCCTAGCCACTTCCCATACCACTTCTTCCTTCCTTGCTCTCTTTCTCTTGGACAACTCTAGTTCCCTATCAAGCATTTCCTAAACATTTTTCGTTTTGTAACACCATCACTAATTCCATATAAAAGGCAATGACCCTAAGTCTGGCAGTCAGTGTGGGCAGCCCCGTGACCACATCTCGCAAGATTGGCTGAACTGGAGAATACATATGGTCATAACTATAATTCTTTGTATACATATAGTCATAACTTTAACTCTTTTCTCTATCTTAGTAAACAATTTTATCTTAAGCCATGAGTTCTAGTTTGTGGTTGCTTTTATTTTTCCAATTATCTCCCTTATCCCACTGGGAAAGGGTGGTGCTTAGCCATAGGCTGTGTTAAACCATTATGCTGTGTTTGGAAAGTGATGGAGGAGAGAAGTGATGAGGAGGCGGCAGCTAGAGACATGCCCCTGTGCTCGGACATCAGTGCCCCGCTGGGTCTGGAAGCCTGATGTGCCTCTGCTGCTGCTGCTCCTCAGGGGACAGAAGCAGGGCTCCCAGCAATAAGTGCTCTGGGACTGAAAGAGCAAGAGGAGGCAGGCTCCCGAGGCCTCTGATAGAAACATGAGATTTACCAGCTGCTGATGCTTCAGGCCTCTTTGAAAGTTTCAGGTTTTGACAGTGAGAGAAAGGGGACACACAGGCACACACAAGTGCTGAGAGGGGCACATGACATGCCATGTCATCATGGCAAGAAACCTAAGGAGTACATGAAACTTACCTAAGCACATCCCTACACCCACCTTTACCTCCTTTTCTGTCCTTTTGAGGACACTCACAAGGACTGACTTGTTGGCTGCAGGCACTCAGCATGAAAAGACTGCTAACGCTCATTTAGTTCTGGTGTTTTAGCTGAAAGTGTTTTAGCTGCACTGTGAATGCAGGGGAACAGCACTTATCCCATTGAGGCCAGAGCTAAGCACGGGTAAGTGAACGGAGAGAGATGGAGGCAGAGGATCATAGAATCATAGAAAAGTTGAAAGGGACCTCGAGGATCATCAAGCTCCAGCCCCCCTGCCACAGGCAGGGCCAGCAACCTCCATATCTCATACTAGACCAGGCTGCAAACAGGAGCAGATATGTAAGAAAATTGTGAGCGATGTTGGCTTAATAGGATCAAAGTAGTGCCAAGGATCTAGAGCATGAGACCACTTAAAGGTTTTAAAATCTTCTCATTTTTAGTAATTTGGCTGTTTATTTAAACAAGATGAACTGGGAAGTTGTTTTAAACAGAGGTAGCATAGAAAATTACTTTCTTTCTTAACGTTGCTTTTTGAATTAGCCAAATATCTCATAACATAGTACAGATCTTCCATGAGCACCTGCTCCAGTTTGATCTATATTGTAAGTTTTAACATGTGTGAAACACAAAGATGAGTTAGAGCAATGAGTTAGAGAACAGCTCGGTAATGAGCTGCTCCATCTTCATGTGCCAGCATGCTGAAGTAGCCAGTTGCTCTGTACATAAGACTCATTTCATTTGCCCTGTGTCTGCAGCTGTGAGCCAACTTTAGATAATGAGAGGTCATTGCAAAAAAAATCCTATCTGAAGACTGAATCAGATGGTATCTCCAATCGCTAAACACAAATTCTAGTGTCTGCCACCCTCTGCTGGAGTAAAGGAGTAAACTTTTTGAGCAGCTGTGCAATGAGTGCTGGCAGATGCTGAGAATTCCCATAGCATGCTGAAGTTTTCAAGCAGAACAACAGTGCACCAACCCCTTTTATTTTGAAGAGTACTTTTCTAAATGGACAGGAGTATGATGTTCATTGCTGCACCAGGAGATACTCAAAGACTCAGGATTTTTATAGCTTCTCCAGTAAAACGTTTATCATACATAGACTTTAAGTGTTCTGAATCCCTGTGAATGACTACAGGCAGTTTCTACTTTGTTATTTCTCTACAGGACCTGTGGGGTCACAGCATTTTGTCATGTCTGGGGTCTGCCAGGTTTTGGCCACTGAGAGAATTTTGTATCACCTTCACATTCAGCAATGTGATCTTGACACACAGATTATTCAAGATTACATGGTTATGATGGTTTCTTGTTTTGCTTTTCTTTCTTTTTTTTTTTTTTCATTCACTGATACACAGCAAACTGAATGCCAGAGCAGCACCAGAAGGGAGAGACTCCAGTTTGTTTTCTGCTCTAAAGCCGTGCTCAGGATACATCTGGGACTTCTGTGCTTGTTGTTAGCTACAGAGAGGCAGTGCTTTGTTCCAGAAGAGCCACCCAGCTTCACATTGGGCCTATTTTTCTGACAGCTCACGGAGAACTTTTGAACCCTGTGCTATTAGGACCAGCAGTGCCCAGCAGTGTAGATGCGTGCCTTGCTTGAGCACATGGCAGATGCTGGCCTGGTACAATGGTACTTCAGCACACACCCACCAGGATGGAGGAGCTTGATGCTCTCTGGCACATGTGAGCCTGACTCCTGCAGACCGTATTTCCTGTGGCTGCATGCTGCTTTGCTCTGCTCTGTACTCGTTGCCTGCGGCTGGGCAGAAGTCCTGTCTGTGCGTGGAGTGGTACTTCCATTATTTTCTAAGCATTTTCTCTCAGCAAAGTTTCTGTTAACTGCTACTAAGCACACTGTGCTATGAAGCACAATTGACTTTTGATTGATTTCAGCTTTGCTAGAATAATGTTAATTATGAAGTCTTCCTGTCGATTTACAGGAGGAAGTGTTTGGAAAGTGCTGTGGTTTTCCCCATGTGATGCTGATGGGTCAAAGACATCCATACAAGAGTAACACAGGTCTGTTTGAAATGTTGCTGGAGGCAGCTGCATGCAAAGACAGCATCGGAGCTAAAATCAGTGGGTGCAGATCTGAGAGAGGAATGCTTGAAAAGTGGCTATCTTCTCAAGTATCTATGCATTTGGGGAGATGCTCAGTTTTAAATCGCCCCCCACTTTGTATTCTCTGATTCTAGGTGTGGACTGAGATCACATTACCTCAAATTCCTCCCCCTGAATGACAACGAAGCTTTACTCTCAAAAAGCAGCTGGCTTCAGCCCCACGGGCTGCCTGCAGTCTCTGATCTGCAGCAAACATTCTGCTGCCAGAGAACACATCAGAGCCAGCTCTGCTCATTACAGCAGATAGAAAAACATCTCCATGCTCTTTTGCACTGCTTTCAGAAATGTGACCTTAGTTAACTAGGCCAACTACTTTTTGTAGACAGGAATTGGCTTATCAAATGGTGAGTCATCACCTGTGACGCATTGTTTCAAATAAAGAAGATCTTTTAAATCTGTTTTGCAAACTGACAATAAAATCCTATTTGAGCTTTTGTACACTGGAATGGCTGCTTGTGCTCTGCCTGCCCAGTCCTGCAAACTGCACCTACACCCACCACCTCATCCACTTACCTTACCCATCATAGCAACATTGTTCAATGTCTTTTTTCCTCGAGTCAGAAAGATACTTAAACACGTTCATTAAGCAAGAGCTTAATGAGACTATGATTTACTTAGTGCTTTCCTGGTGCTAGGGCATCAGTAACCAGAGCACCGTGCAAACAAGTCCCACGCAGTTCGAGCAGGATGGTACCCACAGCACGCTTTCTCTTCTGGAGGCAGGGGCAGATGCATCCAGGTGTGAGGTAGGGAATGGGTGGAACAAGGAGCAGGGGGGAGGGAGAGGAGGGGGAGAATGAGGAATTGGACAAAAGCGCCATTCATCTTGCACACTTTCCATTATTTGTGAAAGGTTGCAAACTGGACAGACAAGCTGCAAATACACAATTGATCAGTTCACTCCCATGAGACGCTCCTCCATCTTCAGTTACTCTGTCTTACTTCCAAGGCCCAGCGTCCGTAGCCCACAGGATCAGGACATCGGGGCCCTAAATATTCTGAGTGTTCATTCAGTGTACCAATAGAAATGATCGCTGCTGTAGTTAGCAGTGTGTGCTGTCCTAGGCATAAATAGGTCTCCAGAGAAATCAATGCACAACGGGCTATTGCTTTACAATCACCTGGAAAGCATAAAATTTGGTAATTCACCAAGTGCAATATAGTGCGTTAAACTGAGAAATGCAAGAGTGGGAAATAGTTCTGGGCTAATAGGGCTCTGGGGAGGAGGGCATCACTTGAATGTAACAGCAACAAACAAACAAACAAACAAAAGAATAAAATAGAAAAATGTGCCTTGCTTTCCCATGAATAAGCTTATATAAATGACCAAGAAATACATTTATTTTATGCTGTGCATCTCAGGAGCTGCAGAAATAAATGTGTCTGAGAGAGAAGTCTGATGGTCTTATGAAACACGAGTAAGAAGAAATCAAATATGAGAAACAGCTCTAAATTCCAAATGATAAATCTTTCTATTTATCAGCTTCATATTTCAGAGTGAAAATTAGGACAAATAATATTTT